GTGAGGTATACAGTAAGAGAAAGAGAGGAACGGAAAACGAATAAGAGGGGAAGGAAGAATGAGAAAAGAGAAAGAAAAAATGGAGAAATAACAATTGAAAAAGAAAAAAATATTTAAGAAAAAAAAGGGAATAGAAGAAGAAAAACGGGAGAAATAGAGAACAATAAATAGTGAAAAAGAAAGAAAGGAATAAAAAAAGAAAAAGGGGGAAACAGAGAAAGTTAGTTTGCTTTTTTTAGTATTAATTGAAGAGAATGTTTGTAACAGGATTGTCAAAATATTTTTTTAAAAATTTTTCCCAGACAGACATGGAATAAAAAAAGATACTAATAAGATTTTTTTATTGTTCATCTGTTTATCATTCTATGTTCATATATATGTAATTACTAGAGTCACTGTATATCAAGTCTCGCAAATCGTCTCTCTGTAAACAGCGTGATTGTTTGCTGGGGCTTGCTATTATTATTCTCTAGTACTCCCCTTTTTCCCCTTCTCTGTCATCTCATCAATCAATAACTAATTTAGATTTATTGTATTTTTTAAAATCTTTTTCGCCTTATTAAAAACCTTGAAGAGCGGGAGTGAAACCGGCTGTTTTCCTCCTTCAATTTTTTTTACCATCAGTATTTTAATTATGCCAAGTAATATTCAGTTTAATGTTTTTACTGCAATACTTAAATTCTGTACCGCGAAGAATGTCTTTATATATATATATATATATATATATATATATATATATATATTACTAATTTATGACGGGTAAGATAATTCCATGGAGGATATTAATCCAGACAGAGCTCAATGCAAACTAGGGAGCATTGTAATAAAAATGAATAAAGAAGAAAACCTTAAAGATTCATTTCGATTATAAATTATTTCGTGAATATTTGTATATTCATCTCTTCAGACCGAAAGTTCTTAAAAAAAAAACTATATATATAATAAAAAATATAAATATATCGAAGAGTTCATTATTTATCTATCCATGTTCATATGTATATATCTTGGACTGTTACCCAACTATCTATCTCGATATCTTCCCCCCTCTCTCTCCCTATCTATCCATCTATCAACTTGGCGTATCAGGGTTCATTTCCCATCTATGTATTTGAGTGTGTATGTTTGTATATAAGGTTTTCTACTAATAAGTCAATAGATCGAGAATGTGTCTTAAAATGTTCTAATTCAAGGGCTGCTATATCTAAATTAGTGTTGGAGCCAACTTCCTGCGCCATACAGAATGAATATGCCTTAAAAATAATACAAATATATTTGCATAAGGAAGTTGGAATATGAAGTGGAATCGAGAGTCTATAAAAGAAAAGAATGTGAGTAGCTTTTTCTATGGATTGTGTCTCCTCGGGTCGAGGGCAGTTGTGGCTCTCCAGAACGTCCTTTGTAACACTTAGTAGTTTTCTCTATATATACTATCATTCCCTCCTAATCACTGTGTGTATGACAAGCGTGTGTGAGAAAGTACAAAATGTCAAGGAAGAAAAGGCCATATAAATGAACGTTCCCCTGTAGGTTACACTTTACCTACGTGCGACTATATCAGAAAACAAGAGTTGAAAAGACCAATAAACAAGGTGAGGGAGAATATCATTGCCTATTTAAAGACTTAAAGTGCGCCTCCTAGCAAGCGCTTTTGTCAGGGCCAAGTGGAGTAACCCACAATCTCACCCAAGTACCATTTTATTGTAAAATCAAGAGTAAGGGTAATTAAAATTATATGTTAATGAGACTGATTCATTTAATATAAGTTTGTCGGATTTATTATTTTTTGAGCTTTGACTTGAGTTTTTTAACGAAAAATAAGAAGGTAGTTTCTGGCATCTCTATCTATAAAAGGCAGGATGTGTGTGTGTGTGTGTAACGAATGCACGGCCGCAATTCGACGGATTTGCACCAAAATTTACATGCACATGCTCCAAGTTAGCGGGAAGGCCAAGACCGACTTTGCATTTCCCAACTCCCATCGATAGTGGAAATAATCGATTTTTTCATACTTCTACGGCAATTTTCATGTAGTTTGACGCCATTTTCTACTGGCCAAAGTGAGAGCTGGCTGCCACGAATAGGCAGGAAAATTCTATTGGCCAGCGTGAGAGCCAAAAGCTGACTGACACAAATGTTAACTAGCATGCTAGCATGCAAAAAAAAAAAAATCGATAGCTGCATTCGTCACAAGTGAGAAAAATTTAAATCTGCATGGCACTTTACTCCAATTGGCTCATTCGCTTGCTTAAACTCAACGTTGATTCTGATTCCGCAGAACTGGTTTGGGTGTGAAAAAGTATTTGTTGTTAACATTCTTTTTTCATTCGGTTTTTCCAGTTACGAGTCCTTTTTTAAAGCTGATCGTTTTGTGTTCATTTTGTTTAGCTCTTTTTTCGTAACAGATTTAATGTTTAGTATAGAGCTTAGAAAAAAATCGCGCTGTGAGATAGGCAAGAAGTAAGGCATGTAGCAACATCAGCACAGCAAAGGGCACTCCTTTAAAGGCAAGGAAGGACAAAAATATTTTAAGTCAACTGATAGCGATTGCTGTATGAGTCGTACGATTTTTGAATCAAGCACCGGGCAACGCCGGGCCATGCTGCTAGTTTGTCGATACAATTAACACATATAAATCGGAAATATGTCCCGATAATGAGATCGATATGTGCCAACTGCGTATGAATTAATAAGCCCAACTGGCGCGATAGATACAAATAAATTAGAATAGATAAGAAAAATGGAACAAATTAATGTAGAAATATTTGAATAAAGATTGATTTAGATAGAAATCAAGCTATAAAAAAAAACGATATCAGATTTCTGTGTTACAGATTCGTTCACGAAACTACTTAATTTCCCGTCCCTGGTTTATTTCGACGTTGCTCACACCTTGAGTTTGTTGTGGGGTCGGAATGTCTAACCCTGCAAACATTAAAGTTGAAGAAGTGATACAGGCTGAGGCAAGGACAACGAGAACAAGGAGTTTAGATAAAATATGGCAACACTTAATAATGGTAGAAAAATTCGAAATGCAGTCGAAGAATCCTGATGCTTCAAATGCCCTTTGTGGTCTTGCTGGTAGTTGACTGTTGATGATAACCGGATCAATTTGACCAGTGCCAAAGGTTGATAGACAGTTTGGTTGGTACTAGCTGGCAGTCGAAGGCCAGAGCGAACGGTTATTGGTACTCGGAAGATGAAGACGAAACCGCTTGGGAGCTTTTCGAAGAACGTTAATCAATCAATCGGCATGTTGAGATGGTACTAGCAGGCAATTTTAGCAGAGGGTAGGCGGTTCGAATCACGGTGATCCTCGAAATGATGAGCAGCAAAGAGTGAAACCGGAATCGTTGAGTAGATTCATAGAAGACATGGTCGGTGGAAGACAGTTTGTCGTTGGTGATCGCCGCTTGTCTGGATACTACACTTTAATCTTATTCTCTTCTCGTCCCTGTATTTATCTTTGACTTCTTACAGAGTCAGGATGCGACACAAGTTTGTTTTAACCTGGGGGAACCCGAGTGTCTCCACTCGGGCCACTGGTCATACCTAGTCGTAGCCTGTATCTAGTCATAGCCAGTCAGCAACCCACGCTACGGAATAGATTCGAGGATTCTTGTCCAAGCAGGAGAGTGGAGAGAGGACCCGGCACAGAACAGATACTACAATAGCATCTCCTCCGCCCCAGATTGTTCTACTAAGGTCACTGTTTTTTTTATGGGGCAAGAGTATTACAAAAGCGCGTTTTTTTTTTAAACTTCCGGTTATAATGAAAGCCGTAAAAATAACTCTAGATTATGAAGTATAATGCAATTCGTCATAACAAAACTACGAACAGGAAAGAACTAGTATTGGATTTGGATAACCAACGTAAAATGTCTCTGAAACGATGTCAGTTATGTTCAGTCACGTGCCATGCATGATACACGCATAGCCGATCATGTATCTTTCAATACATGACTGACGAGGCTGATTTTTCTCCGCAGTAGTTTGCTATTTCTTTCTGCGGTAGACCAGTCGCCATCCAAGGCTATAGAACCCGCTCTGTCTTGGTATTTACCCATAGTCAGTCAGTTGTGTCATGCGTGATACACGCGTAGCCGATCATGGATCTTTCGATACATGACTGACGAGGCAGATTTTTCCCCGCAGTGGGTTGCTGTTTCTTTCTGCGGTAGACCAGTCGTCATCCAAGGCTATAGAACCCGGTCTGTCCTGCTATTTACCCATAGTCAGTTATGTCATGCATGAAACACGCGTAGCCGATCATATATCTTTCGATACATGACTGATGAGGCAGATTTTTTCCCGCAGTAGGTTGCTATTTCTTAATGCGGTAGACCAGTTGCCATCCAAGGCTACAGAACCCGGTCTGTCCTGATATTTACCGATAGTCAGTCAGTTATGTGTCATGCGTGAAACACGCGTAGCCGATCATGTGTCTTTCGATACATGACTGACGAGGCAGATTTTTTCCCGCAGTAGGTTGCCATTTCTTTCTGAGGTAGACCAGTTGCCATCCAAGGCTATAGAACTCAGTCTGTCCTGCTATTTACCCATAGCTGTGGGAAGAAGAGGATTTATGCATTTACCAAGGGTAAATGTATAAATCCACGTAACTGAATGTAATGGATTCGACTGGAATTCGAACTCGGCTCTCCGATTCCTCAAACCGAGCCGCTATCCATTATTCCACCGAAACGATTTACAGAATTAATAAACTCGAACAGTTCAAGGTTAAATTGAAAGGGTCCGTTTACTGACACAAAAATAACAAAGTAGAATGTCTCTACGATAAGTTGCATCTTTTGATGATAAGCATGCGTTCTGACTTCTTAGAGTTCATCTGTCTGTAGAAGGACATCTCAGCTGTCGAAACACTCATTCTGAGCCTACATCCATTACAACATCAGAACATCCGTGCAGGTGAAATAAGAGGGACCGGAAAAGAAAGCGTGAAATGAGAAAACAGACCTAAAAGCTCAAAACGAGAGAGGGGAAAAAACAACAAAAAAACAGAAAAAGAATCAACTTCTCTTTCTCCCTTCCCCTCCCCCATCTCCACCTCTCCCTCTCTCTGTCTACCAGCAAAATTGTCCAAATCGTGTTACAAAAAATTGTCCATTTGTTAGATTAAGATTTGAACTGTTCTTTCTTAGAAATGATTAAAGATATCTTACTGGAATTCTCCGACCAATAACACTATTGGAATCTACTTTGAAAAATAAGAATGCATTTAGCCATAATTTGAAATGATGATCCTTCTTCCTGTTGTGACCTCCTGATCCAGTTTTCCTTTCTACTGTTCCCTCTTTTATTAAAAACTTATTCACCGTTTTCTCGGAGTTTCTCGAACGGACATTAAAGATGGAAGCCAGAATATGAATGTTGGCACCAATACCGAAGGCTTGAATGATCTTTTTCCTCTCACCATTGCTCAGTTGGGAAGACACAAAATGATTTCCACCCGGTCTCTTTTTAGCTGAATTACTCAAAGGGTTTTTCAGTGATTCTTACGACAAATGGTTTAAAGATGGCTAAACGTCTTAGCGGAAAATCTGTAAAACTGAAACTCATTACTTTAGTTATTTTTGGATATTAAACATTTTCTGGGATGGAAAATTATCCCATGCTCTTAGCCGATCTGGACAATTTTGCTTTGTGAGGTGTTAATCTATACTTACTGGCTAGGGAGTCAACCGGCTGATGCACCTAGCTTCTCTGATTCCCTGTTGTGATACACGGAATGTAAAGTTTAAATTGGTATCTACTGTGCTGTGCCGAGTATATATTAGTCATAAGTGGGAGATGCCCAAGGAAATAAAACAGGTTATTTTTTTTTTAAAGTTGTTAAATAATGGAGAGTTTAACAGACATGCAAACAGTTTGGTTGTAGAAGGAATTCTAAGGACCGACTTCTGAAATTATTGATTTATAGACTGATTTCTGTGTTTAATCACTGTGTTCATGCCATTCGCTTTGCATTATTTTAATTCTCACTACACGCTTGCAACTTTTAAATTGCAAAGTGCACAGGGAGTCTTTCTTTTCGGTCAGAGAGAGAGGCCATTTCTATATCATGTCAGGATATGAATAGAAAGGAAAAGTGTTTCGGTCACTTGACCGTAACCTTGACACAAACTTTAACTAATGGCGCCGCAGACAAATCGGCTTTAAGCAGAAAGCACTTCTCCCAGGGTAACTGGCTGTCAACCTCTCCGAGTACAGTCTAGCTCTTCCCTAAAATGTTCGATCTCATTGTTGACTGTTATTCCGTTATAAAATTCGTGAATTTCTATTTATAGATACCGATTTTAACTTTCGATACTACGTTCCACGCCTCTGTGTGTGTGTGTGTGTGTGTGAGAGAGAGAGAGAAGGGGAGAGAGAGAGAAGGGGAGAGAGAGGGAGAGAGAAGGAGAGTGGGAGAGAGAGGGGGATAGAGAAGGAGAGAGGGGGATAGAGAGGCAGAGATAGGGGAATAGAGAGAGATAGACAAATAGATGGAGAGAGAAGGAAAGAGAGAGGGTTAGAGAGTGAGTGAGAGAAGGGGGTAGAGAGAGAGAGAGAGAGAGAGGGGAGAGGGGGATAGAGAGGGAGAGGGGAGAGAGAGGGAGAGGGGAGAGAGGGGGATAGAGAAGGGTAGAGAGAGATAGACAGATAGATGGAGAGAGAGTGAGAGAAAGAAAGAGAGGGGGTAGAGAGGGGAGGAGAGAAAGGGTAGAGAGAGAGAGAGAGGAGGAGGGGGATATAGAGGGGATATAGAGGGGAGAGAGGCAGAGAGAGGGGGGATAGCGATGGAGAGAGAGGGAGAGGGGGAGAGAGAGAGGTAGAGGGGGAGAAAAAGGGGATAGAGAGAGATAGACAGATAGATGTGAGAGAAAAAGAGAGAGGGTAGAGAGGGGAGGAGAGAAGGGAAGAGAGAGAGAGGGGGAGAGAGAGGGATATAGAGGGAGAGAGGCAGAGAGAGGGGGATAGAGATGAAGAGAGAGGGAGAGTGGGAGAGAGTGGATAGAGAGGCAGAAAGAGCGGGATAGAGAAGGGAGAGAGAGATAGACAGATAGATGGAGAGAGAGTGAGAGAAAGAGAGAGAGGGGTAGAGAGGGAGAGAGAGAAGGTCGTAGGGAGAGTGAGAGAGAGAGAGAAGTAGAGAGAGGAGGATAGAGAGAGAGAGGGTAGAGAGAGATAGAGAGATAGGGAGAGATGTGCTTCTAGGTAACCAAACCAAAATCTTTTCTCCGATGAATATCGATCTTGACTGCTCAGGCTTTCAGCTAGCGAACGCCATGTGCATTTGCGATATCGATTTATCGAAAGAATAAAGAAGGACAGCTCGGATGACCAGGAGATGGCTGCACTTTGTGACAATTTCTCTGACGCTGGCCTTTCTGCGGCGTCTCGTCTTTTTAACTTACAGCAACATTCCTCCCCCCCCCAGGAGAGGACAGAACGTGAAAGGGAAACTGTTGTGAAACCAAACAAGAATAGGAATTGATTGTCCTCGTGATACAGCAGTTTCAAACATAAGTATCAATAATAATAATAATAATAATAATAATAATAATAATAATAAATGCCAGAATACTCTACCAGGCACGGCTCTCATGACTTCTGCTTATTATTGATTAGGGATGTTAATTAAATAATAAATATATATATATATATATATATATATATATATATATATATATATATATATATATATATATATACCCAAGTAGAGGATTGGTGCTCTACTTGTATTGAGACCTTTTAAATTAATGTTATGAACGTTTGAATCTATATTATTATTTTCGGTCTTTTTTATATATATATATATATATATATATATATATATATATATATATATATATATATATATATAAAGAACAGTAAGATATATAATCCGGTGTTCTTATAGATTTTTTCATTTTTATAAAATAGTGCTCAATGTAAATTTACAGAGCATAAATATTATAAATTAACTGATTTAAAATTTGATTTCCGCTACACAGTTCTAACCATGTTTCAAAAATGGAAGCTAAAAGCCCCGAATTTAATTTTGTAATTAAATTAAAGACATTGATTCCATTTCGAGTTAGAACTGTCTAGTGGAAAAAGCCATATTTTAAATCAATTAATTTATAATATATATATATATATATATATATATATATATATATATATATATATATATATATATATATCAAAGTATAGGATACGGAATAAATTCGAATAACAAAAAAACGCTATTCTTAAAAGAGTGCTAAATACAGAGTAGAGCAAATATAATTTACTGAAAAATTATAATATAACATGTTATAAAATCACTGCTAATATAGCCATTTTGTTTCAACACTTATGGTGTCTTATCAAGTGATGGTGTTGAATGTAGATTCTACATTCAGCACTATCATTTGATAAGTGTTGAAACAAAATGCCTATTTTTGTAGTGAGGTTATAACATCTTTATGATATAATTTTCGAATTATATATATATATATATATATATATATATATATATATATATATATATATATATATATATTGGTGAATTAAGATTTTGCGTGTCCTTTTAGAACCTGGGCCATCATGTCTCTCTATATAGTTTTTAACAATCTTTGCATTTTTTAATCTCTCCTTGCCGTGTCTTCTGCCATTTATTTGTCCCAGATTGTCAGAAATGTTCCCCTTGGTTCCCTTCGATTAGGTCTTGCGAAAGTAAAATTCTACTCACTCTCTATTTTCCTTATATGTTTTAGAAAATTCACCTTTCTCTTTCTCATTCTAAATATAAGTGTCTTTTTTGTTTTAATTTTCCTTAAAACTTCCTCGTTATTCACATGTTCAGTCTATGGTATTTTCTAAGCCCATGCCTTAATGCAGTACAACAAATTGTATTTTAAAATTGAAGATAGGCACACTGTCGAAATATTGTTAAAAATTTTTAATCATTGCATTTTCTTCTTTCCTTACATAGAATATTATTATTATTATTATTATTATTATTAATAATAATAATAATAGATTTGTGCAATTCTCTAACTGTTGTAATAATAATAATAATAATGATAATAGATTTTTAGAAAATACTTGAAAACAGACGTACTGTTGTAATATTGTTAAAATTCACGTATCGAAATATATGTGATCGCCTAAGTGTGTATCACGTATGGCACATAACTGACTGACTGATACACCAGAAATCAAAGAAAATAATAATAATAATAATAATAATAATAATAATAATAATTAATGAGATACCTGTTCATGATTTTGGCAATCATATCTTTCCAAATATTATTTGACATGACGTCAACGGAAAGATTGTGGCGTGATATCCATTGCTTTCTTTACAGTTGTAATTTCAGATTAAGCCTTTTCATAAGGTAGTTATCACTCATAGCTAGGAAGCGCAATCTACCCAACTATTTAATTTAACCCCAGTGCTGTTCAACCTGTACAAGGCATGAGAGCCTTTCGAGGTAGAGTCATAGTTTATTGGGATATGCTGGAACGATAACGGTTAATCCTTGAATTGAACAAGGTTAAGATTGTAATGATCGAGGAGGCATCATCTTGGTAGTCGGTCCCACAAAGCAGCTGCTCGTGGGATGGAACTGCTCGAATGGCTTACGTCTCACCAATGGAATATCAAGAGAATGGGTCGGGGGGTCGCTATAATGTGCGTGGCATGAGAAAAGAAAAGCATAAAAAACGGCGAAACAAAAGATAATAACAGCACGAATGATAGCTAAAGAAAAAAAAAATGATGAATACAAATGAAAAAGTTTATTCGACAGGCAAAATTATCTTCAATTTTCTTAGCAAAACATAAAAAAATGCCCGGCAGGTATCTTGCCAAGAACCCACAAAAACCGCCATTTTTTTTTTATGAAGCTTACTTGTTCGTTTTTTTTTTTTTTTTTTTTTTTTTAATTGTACATGATAAGAACGAACGGAGTTTAAAGTAGATGGGGAGAAGTTTAGATTCAATAAATAAATTAACAAATAGGCCGCACATTGTCTCATAGAGAACTTCTCTGTTTTCAAGACAGAAAAAAAAAATACCCACTCGAACGGCGCAAAAATGGAAGTCAGTACAGTCTGCTCACTCAAAAATCTGATAAAAACGTTACTATTCACACAGGCATAACCCATATATATATATATATATATATATATATATATATATATATATATATATATATATATATATATATATATATATATATATATCACTATCTATCTATTATCTATCTATATATATATATATATATGAAGAAATATAGTTTTAAGGTGTGCTATATTTATGGGATTAGAGTCCTCAATATCAGACATAGAGCGTATATAAATATAAATATAAAAGTGAACAATGAATTCAACACTCAGAGGCGACAGGCTGTTTCATGTTAGACGCAATCGTCAGGTTGCATATGTATTTACACCTTTATATATATATATACATGTAAATACAGAATTATTAAATTACATCAAACAGCAGCCAACAAGGAAAGTAAGCACAGTACATTGTCAGTCGTTTTTAATGAAATATATATATATATATATATATATATATATATATAATTTAAAATTTGTGTATTTAGGCAGCAATCCTTCTTTCATGCACATTTCATTGAATACGACAGACAAGGTGCTTTTATTTAGCTTTTTATACAATTTCTCATTAGATCTAATAGATTTTTTCTTTTCGGGTGATAAATTATATGAAAACTGTCCGAATGTTCTTTTTATCCGAGCGCTTTCGGCTATACATTTAACCATTTTCATTTAATGCCCATTAAGGAATTGTATTCCTGATCAATCAATATTCGTAAAAAATTATATAGGTCACACTACAACATGTTTGACTCACTCTACCCCTTTCTGAATATAGCTCAGTTAGATCTCATTTAAATATTCATCGAGACATACCGGACACTACTTGTAACATACTTATTCACAACATTAATATAATAGCATCATCTACATACAAAAAAGGCTAAAAATAATGGAAGCCTTATTAATAATAATAATTAAAAAAAAAACACTTAATAATATTAACTTTGAACATGGTCAAAATATCTTGACCCTGTTTTGAAAAAGGAAGACATTTTATAAAAACATACATACAACAGACTATTTCTTATTTAACAGTTAAAATATTTAATTCTTGAAAATGGCTAAATGTATATCCGAAAGCGCTCGGATCAAAAGAACAATCGGACAGTTTTTATATAATTTATCATCCGAAAAGAAAAAATAATTATTAGATCTCATGAGAAATTGTACCAAAAAAACTAAATAAAAGCACCTTGTCTGTCGTATTCAATGAAAAAGATTCACACACACACACACACACACACACACACACACACACACACATATATATATATATATATATATATATATATATATATATATATATATATATATATGTGTATGTGTGTGCATGTTCGATTTTTTGCAAGAGGCATATTCTGTACAGACATTCGATTTTCCAGGGCGGTAAGTATCAATTACACTGTAGAAAAAAGAGAAACAAAGCAAGTATTTATAAACATTTACCAATACACTCATATATATATATATATATATATATATATATATATATATATATATATATATATATATATGAGGGTACATATATATAAATGGGTACAGGTATATATAAATAGTGGCATGTACAGGTATTTATGTGTGTGTGTGTGTGTGTGTGTGTGAGTAGTCCAGATAAAGTGTTCTGCAAAAGAAACTGAATCCCTAAGATAATATGAAAAAAAATCGTCTCTTTTTTCCAAATCAATTCATCCCAAGAAAGGCAATAATCCCACTAAGACGCAATCGGGTTACTGGTAGTGAAAGAGAATGGAAAGACTTTAAAAAGAAACGGAAAGCCAATCCTAAACAGAGATCAAAGGATAAACCTCTACTCCTGTTCAAAAGACGGAGGAGGAGTGTAAACCGGACGATTGGCGAACCTATCTACTCCTAATGAAGGGAAAAAATAATTAGTGAATAAAATTTAAGATTTCAGGTGGAGACCTTAGAAGAATAGAGATGTATTAGACTTTAGATGGAACCGGAAAAATCAGTCCTAAACAGGAAACAAGGGATAAACTGCTACTCCTGTTCAAAAGCTTAAAAGTCTACGAAGATCGATTGGTTAATACCAGATTTAGTGGTAAAACAGTGAATTGCATAACACGTCGTTTTGCGTTTACGTCTTTGGGTTTTCTTTGCTTATCTTTGAAAACAAAAAGAAAAGAAATGAAACAGCTTAATTATCTGGTTATTTATGGCTCGAGACAGCAAATCAATTCAGGCCTAGAATAATTGATAGCAAAATCAGTGAAAAGGAAAAGAAAATAAGACCCACCCCCCACCAAAAAAAAGGAAAAAAAAAACAAAAAAGAAACCAGAGACAAGCATCTTGTAGAATATGACAAATTAATCATTAAATTTTTCCTACTATTTTTCTTGCTCAAATGGCCGTTACAATTCTGTTTCCGGTTGAATGG